TCCATTATTCCTAGCCTGGCCTTCGGGCGCGTTGGCGACTAGCTTGACCTCCTTCCTCTATGTAGCAGACCCTCAAATATTGGAAGACGGCTATCATATCTCCCCTGCTCCTTCTCTTCACTAGACTAGCCAAGCCCAGTTCCTGCAACCGTTCTTCATATGTTTTAGCCTCCAGTCCCCTCATCATCCTGGTTGCTCTTCTCTGCACTTTTTGTAGAATCTCAAAATCTCAATATCAGATTAACAGAGTTGGAAGGGACCTTATAGGTCATCTAGTCCAATCCCACACCCAAGCAGGAGACCCTATACCATTTCTGACAGATGACAGTCCAGTCTCTTCTTGAAAGCTTCCAGTGATGAAGCTCTCACAACTTCTGTTCCATGGGTTGATTGTTCTCCCTGTCCGAAAATTCCTCCTTATTTCCAGGTTGAATCTCTCCTTGTTCAGTTTCTATCCATTATTCCTTGTCCGGCCTTCAAGTGCTTTGGGGCATAGCTTGACCCCCTCCTCTCTGTGGCAGCCCCCCAAATATTGGAAGCCTGCTATCCTGTCTCCCTTGGTCCTTCTCTTCACTTGACTAGCCAGGCCCAGTTCCTGCAACCCTTCTTCATATGTTTTAGCCTCCAGTCCCCTCATCATCCTGGTTGCTCTTCTCTGCACTCTTTCTAGAGTCTCAACCTCTTTTTTTATAGTGTGGGAACCAAAACTGGTTGTATCCTAGGTGTGGTCCTCCTAAGGCTTTATAGAGTGGTATTAGTACCTCCCTTGATCTTGACTAGAAGACTTTCAAATTCCCCTTCCAACTTTATTCTAATTCAGGAAACTTGTATGGCACACAACACTTAAAGACTCTGGGCACCTCATCAAAATCATCAAAAGACATCAAAGTACAAATCAATAAAGCATAAAAGGATATTTTCTGGTCCTAGCCAATAGATCGATGTCCTATTTTAACCCGTGACCAATGATGAGGCTTATGGGGGTGAGGAAAGAATGAATCTTCCTGGTTGCAATCTTTCGTCAGATCCCTGAATGAACGAGAACTTTAATCGTTATCAGGGTGGAATTTTAATCTCCGATTCAATCCCAACATTTTTGCAATGTTGAAAACGTCGCTTGGGTGGAGACAGATGGGGAGAGAGAAAGAGGTCGGAAGATGGAGGGGTGGTGTCCCTTCTCCTGGTGTGAAAGAGGGATGGTAACAACGTCAATCATCCCTTCATCCCCCACAATTCATAAAAAGGGTTCCTTGTATGTTTCGAAAGGGACATTAATATACAAATGTTTTATCAAAAAATCGACATCATTGTTTCTCAAGCTTGTCCCCTTTAAGACAGGTGGACTTCAATTCCCAGAATCCCCCAGCCAGCATGGACTTCTGGGAGTTCTCCAGGCCTCTTTCAAGTGGCCAGCATCGAGAAACACCAATTAAGTTCTCACCCAAAACCTAGATCGACGTTTCTGTTTCTAGGTGGACTTCAACTCCCAGAATTCCCCAAGCCAGCATGGAATCCTGGGAGTTGAAGTCCACAGATCTTAAAAGTATGCCTCATTTGCATACAGGATATCACTTATAGGTCACTCAGGGGGGGGAAAGGAATGTCTTAAACGCGGCTTGTGTTTTGACTGCACTCCAGAGCTTTGGGAAGTTAGGGGAAAAAACCTAAAGTATTTGAATAACAGAGTTGGAAGGGACCTTGTAGGTCATCTAGTCCAACCCTCCACCCAATCCTACCCCATTTCTCACAGATGGCAGGCCAGTCTTTTCTTGAAAGCTTCCAGGGATGAAGCTCCCATAACTTCCGAAGGCAACTTATGTTCCATGGGTTGATAGTTCTCACTGTCAGAAAATTCCTCCTTATTTCTAGGTTGAACCAATCAATCAATCATAATAGAGCTGGAAGGATCTTATTAATAAATTTTTGTCTAGAGCTTATTACAAAGGTATAATCTCTTTTGGGCCTGAGGAGAGGAGAAGTGAGACAAATAGCAAATAATTTTTAGTTAATTACAATAATAACAAGGAAATGTTAATGGATAAAGTTTAATGATATATAAAAACAAATTGGACATAAGTTTTAATTTGTGAGTTGGGGGGGGAAGGGGAGGGAATGCTTAGATATCCTACTAATTGACTTTGTCTTAGAATATCTTATAAAGCTGTAAAGTTATGGGAGATTAATTGAGATTGCGAATGTATGCCAGTAGGTAATTGTGTCTTCAAATACAAATGATTTTAGATGAAAGCACATTTAAGTAACTGTAATCAAATGAGAATTGTGGTACAGTGATAGCAAAA